TAAATACATACATACTCGGAATGTTTTCACACCTGTAGGAGTGTTAGTTGAGCTGTTTATAGTAACTTACAAATTTCGGCCAGAAATGTAGTTAAATCGTATACATATTCGCGCGATTATTTTTTTTTACGAAATCGTGGATTAACTCAGCATGAATAAATTTAATTCAAGTTTTGCGGATGAAGCTCCATCAAGGACCATTGAATTCAATCGAGGTCGTAGATCACTCCCAGATGGATTTTGTGAAGGTCGGGGAAAATTAGTCTTTGTTTCGGAAACTATTGACGACCTGTGTAAAGATTGCGACAAATCGTTTACGTCCCCCATAAAATTTGTCAAATTAAAAAAAAAAAAATGCGATAGCGGTGAAAGCAAACAGCAGTCGACTGTATGAATGTATAGTATGTTTAAAGATAAGCCGACTCTAGCAACATTTCTTCCAAGGAAGCCTGTTATATTTTGTTTGAAAAACTGGAAATGTCGCAACCGTTCCACTAGAACAAAGCAGAACAGTGAATTCTGGACGGGTACACACATCGATTGAAATAATTGCATTGAAACCGAATGACTTAATTTTATTCCCGTACGCAAAAAACTAAACTCAGAGGCCAAAGTTTTTCAACTCCTGAAGAGGCGGTTGATACGTTCCAAACGCATGTTTTGTAAATACCACAATCAGATTGCCAAAAGTATTTGAAAAACAGTAAAGCAATCGACGATTAATATTTGTTTCCACTCTCCAATCCCGAAATATTTGGTCAAATTCAACAAATAGAAGCAAGTGAATACATATGTATGTAGCCTCTGAGAAGCATGCAGGAATTACACTATACTCCGCGTGAATGAAAGCGTCAATGTTCGAAAAAGTAGGCATCCGAGGTTAAATTTTTTTTTCCTACATCTAATGACGCTACCGATATAGTAAAAGATATTAGGTGAATGGGATTTAACATAAATAAAATTTTAACAATCAAAATGAATGCTCTGAAAAACAGTTTAGTAAGAAAAAATGTATAGAAATTTCATTCCAATCCATTCGATTTAAATGACTAGAAAGAAAATGTTTGTGTTTGTTTTGTTAGCAGCTCTTTACTTTACATCCCAATCTGAAGCACTTTGCCCAATCTTCTTGGTTATTCTGTAAACGCGGCATTATATAATATTCCGTCTATTCGGAGGGCAGAACCCTACACACCACCTCTGCATTACATCAACTCAAAATATAATAATTGTTAGAGTATTTTTCAATAAAGCATGAGAATTAAATTGCAATTAAAGGCGTCTGATGCGCTTCTTGCTCGCAATAAATTACCAAAAATTAAAAAAAAAATCTTTTATCAAATTACCATTTTTTCAGAATTGTTCTGAGGGATAACATATTTGTAAGAAAAACATTAAGACGCAAACCCATAAATTGGAGGAGAAGCTCGGCCGAAAATTGCTTCAGGGGTTACAAAACGCCAATTGTATACATTATATATGTATATTATATTATATTTCAATAGGTGACCGCAATAGCCGACTGACCATCATCCAAAATTATAAGATATAATTTCAATATTTATTTTGAAATTGCGGTCTCCTCTCGGTAGGAGGCGGTTTAAAATGAACTGTAAATTCCTCCATTTTGTTGAAAAAGCATTAAAACGCACACCACAACTGGAGAAGGATTTATATTTAGTTTTTCACCAAAGTGAATTGCATTCATAACGAAAGTCGAAGGTAATTTTTCGTAGATAATTGCAGATTATTAGAGCGTATATTTTATATGAATCGTGCCCATCTACGAGTATGTATGCATATACATATCTAACAAATCTATATTGTATGTACTTACTGTTAAAACAATTTTTGTTTTCAATATTATCTCCTGCTTGATTTAAAATCTTTGAAATAGATTCACCGCGAGAATGACATCATGCCACTAAAAATATTGAATGTGATTTTGGCCAAGGTTTGTTCAAATTGTTTCTGATAAGCAAATCGATAACCGAACGCAGAAATATAAAAAAATTACGGATGAGTATTACGAATAGTGATCGCGGTAGATGAGTGGATCTAGTTGCTGTTGTTGTTGTAACCGCAAAATTATTCCCCAAAGTACTTTTAGGGAATATTGCGGGAGAGACAGTCCTTGGACGGATGAAAATCTCTAACCCGCAGGGTGTGTAGATAAGTGGATGGTAGTGCATGCTTTTCGAACCCTGGACAATATATTCTGTATTTTCCTTCCTTTGTATGTTAAGACCTGAATGTATTATTGAGCAGTGAGGTATGCACTAACATAACGAAGTTTTAACATGCATTCCTCCTAAATTTATTGAAAATTTTCAAACACTCTTTTTCTTCAATATTATATCTTCTTGATAATTTATGGTATGTAAAGGAGGATGATTCACTGACTTGAATGTATAGCCACGCATTACCTTTTGCAGATCGTCTGATATTGATAATTCTTTTTTATTGGATAAGGTATCGAAGTGTAAATTTTTGCTCTCGACATTTTAATGCCCAGTTGTGTATTAAAAATGCAATAGAAAATCATTTTTTCTTTCTTTATCTAACAAATTGTTTTCTCGAATTTAATTAATGAGTTTGTTGTCTGCTGCGCCGACTACAAATTAATGAGGTTAAATAAAAAGGTTTATTATTTTTCCAATTTTTGGATACTTAATCTTTTGAATCCAAGATTAAAGTAAAATTTAAACAAATTTGAAACCTTAATAAATACTTAGTTGTTTCTTCATGCCACCGTTAAACAGTTGCCATGCATCATCGGCGGCGACATATGTATGTATGTACATATGTACATACGAGGTGTGTTCAAAAGTATCGCGAATTTTGAATTTTCGCGGGCTACTTATAATCGAATTCCGATTTTTTTGTAGCGCTATGTTGGTACACATGGCTGTCACTTATGCCGTCAAGCTCGGCCATTTTGATTGTTCACTTAATTGTTGACAGCTGCTTTACTTGCACGTGTTTTGGATGGTCTTCGATTTTTACCTATTCAAAAAAATGGATCAAATAACCTGTATCAAATTTTGTGTGAAAAACGAAATTAAGTGCGCGGATGCATTCCGAATGTTGACTGTGGCATACGGAGAAGCTACCTTGGACTGAAGCAACGTTTATCGGTGGTACAAAATGTTCTCAGTAGGCCGAGAAGATGTGAACGACGAAGAGCGTGCCGGACGCCATGCACTTCAACAACAGACGAAAAAATTAATTGCAGGGTCGTGGTGCATCATGAGTTCTTGCCACAGGGTAGAACTGTCAATAAGGAATATTACCTGCAAGTTATGCGCAATTTGCACGAAGCAATCCGCCAGAAACGCCCGGGATTGTGGAAGTACAAAAATTGGCTTTTGCACCACAATAACGCCCCTGCTTACACATCGTTGCTTATGCGCGACTTTTTGGCCAAAAACAACACACTAATGATGCCGCAGCCACCGTATTCCCAAGATCTGGCCTCCTGTGACTTTTTCTTTTTCCCTAAACTGAAGAGGCCCATGAAAGAACGACGTTACGCTACGATTGACGAGATAAAGACGGCATCGAAGGAGGAGCTGAACAAGATAAAAAATTTATTTTTTGAAGTGCTTCGAAGATTGGAAAAACCGTTGGCACAAGTGTATAATATCTCATGGGGATTACTTTGAAGGGGACAAAGTAAATATTCATGAGCAAATAAATAATTTGTGAAAAAACACAAAATTCGCGATATTTTTTGAACACACCTCGTACGTGCACAAGTACATAATAACGTTAAATATGGTTTCTTATCGCGTTGCAAACGTCGCTGAAATATCTTTACACATTTAAATGAACAACTATCGGCTCTCCCAGCTTATATTCCCCTTATTACGATCGGTGTAGACGACGACGTCATCGTCGTTCAGTCCAAATCACATCGCATCTACGCAAAATTGCTATTGCTGGAATGATGTGAGACAATGTCGACAACTTATTTATTTATTTATTTATTTATTTAATAATAATAACAAAGCATTAGTACAATAAAAAATAAATGTCAATTATTATTTCGGCATCACCCGTTTTTTATGCAACAGTTTCTGTTCTCTACGTTGTATAATTGTTTCAAATTAATATTTTTCCATAAAAATTTTCTTTTTGCATCATTGATATATGTATGTACTTCAAACTCAAGCGACAAGCGTAAAAGAATTCACTGTAAAAGAGAAAAGTATACGGATTTTTCGAACAGATCTGTCTTTGGTCCACTCTCCGGAAAGTATCTATAGTGTATACTCAATATTAACATAATAGATACTTACATATCTTCAAACATTTAAGGCAATCAGCTAGTTAGTTTTGAAGCCCATCCATGAAATGACGTGACATTAGAATTGATTTTAATACATACATGCTAAAAGTCGCTTAAATTAAAAAAGAAAAACATTTAGTCTATGCGAAACCGTAAATTGTAACGCTACTAAAATATTAGTTTCATTAATTTTGGTTATAAAACTGTTGTCAAAAGTTGTAAATTTTATAAAAATTGCAATCGCATTTAACATTACGGAAAATGTTAGTTTTACATGTTTTAAACGTTACGTAGGTTGCATTATTTTAATGTAGAGCAGAAATATTACAGAAAGCTCCCGACGAATAAAATGGATAGATATGAAATTACAATAGATCTTTCATTAGAAAGACCAGCCTCTCATATCAAATCATTCAATACGCCTTGTGCGAAAGACTGGGACTAATTCGAATTTTTGGTTTTTTGCTTTAAAACAATAAATTAAAACAAAATGTATTCATATTATTTAGATACTTCCATGAAGGTATTTTATTTTCAAAATTATTATTATTATTGATCAATGACATGTCATTAACAAGATTTAATTAACACCAAAACTATTTTTTTTAATAAATATTCTAATTTGAATACGAATTTTATCAACAGAGTTATGGAGTTTTAAAAGAAATTTAATTATTAACATATAAGTTTCTTTTCTTATATTTGCCAGATTTAATACATTTAAAAAGTGCTCACGAACGAAAGAAGAAATCTAATAGACAAGCAGTGTAAAAATCTATTGCAACAACAAACAAACTTAACTCATAGATCAAGTCTCCAGAATCCAGAATTCGCAAAAAAATAAAGTTAATATCCATGACGACAAGACCAACACAGATTCACTGAAATCGAAGCTATTTCGTTACAAAAATATAAAAATATAAACAGTAATGTAAAAAAGTAAAAAGGAGCGAGTCAAATAGAAGTAATAATAAATTTTTATAACTAAGAAAAAAAAGGAATTAATAAATAATACAAAGTAAAAGAAGTATAACAGTACTTAGAATAGCAACAACAACAACAACTACTATTACTATAATAGGCATAAATTATCGAGTGGAAAAAAAAATCGAAAATATTTTAAAAGAGCCAACACACATATATAAGCTAAAAGGAAATAGCAAACTACAAACAAAACAACATCAACAACAGAAAATGTCTTTTCGTGTTGTACGAAGCTCAAAATTTCGTCACGTCTACGGTCAGGCACTGAAGCGTGAGCAATGCTATGACAACATACGAGTTTCAAAAAGCAGTTGGGACTCCACATTCTGTGCAGTGAATCCCAAATTCTTAGCCATCATTGTAGAGTCAGCTGGAGGTGGAGCATTCATTGTATTACCACACAATAAGGTAAATACTCCCTTATGCATATGTCATATATTTATTTTGTATTTTGTTGTTTCTAAAAGTGAAAGCATGCTTAAAGAACTTAACGTTCTTGCTGAGCATATACAATATATATAAAATAGAGAAATAGTGATCACATTTCGGCTGGGCGTCTAGTGTTTACGGACTTACGTAATCTGGGAGTATATAAAATGCGGTTCACTTGATTAGAGGCAGTATGAAAAGAAATTTTGAATAAGACTGTTGCATTAAACTAAGCAAGGAAAAGTTAACATATACTTCAAATTTCAGATATAATTTATATGAAAATACAAAAAATTTGGCACATTAATCTAGTTAACCAAACAGATGAGCATAAAATTGAAATAGCTGACAGATTATGCAAATTTTATGTGTTGATAGCTATTAAATTCTATGCGGGTTTTGACGTAGTTTTTAGTTGGTGTAGAAACATTTGGTGTTGTGTTCACATACATGCATATATCACATGAAATATATATTGGTACCCTCATATTTCATCTATATTATTTAAAAGATTCATTGAAAATATGTATTAAATATCCTTAGCCTTATTTTAATTTTATCATTATAATTTGTATAAAGATTTTATAAGCTTTCGTTTTTTCTTTGCCATTTTATATTAGATTTGTAGGAATGGTTTTCTGTTCTGCTTCTTTCTCTTATATTTTTTTATTGATGAAAAAATATTACTTTTGCTTGTTTGTAATATTTAAATAAAGGCAAACAAGTTTAACAATTTTAATCAATTTGAGGATAACGCATCAACAAAACCACAAGATAGTTATGTACCAAATTTATATTATTATAGTTCCGACGCAGTAATGTTAATTCTAGCTTTAAAAGTTTCTTTCAGGAATATTTATTTGTTGCACATCTAACGGCCTTCCAACGTCAACTAATTTCTAGCATCTCACACTCTCGTTGTGTACACGCTTAAAAAATTCGTCCTTCAACCCATAAAATCAGAAAAACAAGAAAATTAAGATCAAACGCAAAAATTGTTAAATAAATAATGCTATTTTTATACGCTTTTACAGTACAAATCTTTCTACATGTATAAATATATATGTATACACCTATAATTTTTTTACACACACACGTATGCACATATTTATGAATGTGTTAAATAAATATATTTTCTCTCTAATTGGACTGCTGAAGTCGATTCCAAATAAGGTTAAGGTTAAAAGGAAAAGTTTCGCTCTTTGTATGTCCCACCGAAACAAAAAGAGCATTTGATTTGATGTATGTGCATATTTTTGTTTAGATGTTTATAAAATGTGCATAACTAAAATTAGTTTTATTAAAATAAGAAATATTAGAATATTAGAATTATTAAAACAAGAAATATAAGAATTGGTATTACTTTAAAATCTTGTAAAAACGGTGTGAAAGTGAATCTATTGCAGTACCAGACTACCAAAAGAAAATTGTGACGCAAAAGCACCTCAGAAATATAAAATAATTGTAATCATAATAACAAAATACTAGCACCAATACTAACAATCAATGATCTGCAAACTCTCTCGCTTTGCTTAGCGTTGGCGTGTTTGCATTTCTCCGCAGAAAAAAACACTTGTATTTGTATGTAGGCCTGCTTTTCTGAGCCAAAAAATTTCCAAAAAGTTTTACGTATCAAATCTATTTGATACAAAAGCGTTGTTAAAGGGAAGATGTGCTGAAGGAGGAAGTGACATGAAATCATACATACAAATGCTCGTGAGAATGGATGGCGCATTCATTGGAAAGTGATTTTCTATTTAGAATGAATAAATCGTTTAAAATTAGAATACGACTACGATTAATTTTGGCAATTGACCAATAATTGAGGTAACGCGCGCAAAAATTCTAATTTAAATTAACGTTGTTCGTGTTAGTGCTGATGGTGACAGCGATGTTGGCGTTGATGTGATGCTTTTTTGTTTGAAGCCAAAATAAATTAATGTCTGTTCTTTTTTTGCATAATATTTTTTCTCACTTGACAGTGTTATAAACTATTTGTTTAATTTTTTCATAAGCTTTTTTTTATATTTTTTATAGCCATTTCAAGTTTTTGACTGCAGACAGCAGTTAGGTTGTGATAAAAATGATAGTAAATCGTTATTCAAAAATTAGTGCTCTCTATGTAAAGCTGCAAGCAAAATATACTCGAATGCTTATGTATTTCATTACCCTAAAAACAATTTGGCTAATTGAACATCCGAGTCTATAGTAGTGATTTAATTTAAGAGTTATATTGTCAGGACATTCTACTGACATTTCTCGATCAACTAAACCCTTACATGTCTTCAGCTGTTATGGTCTTCTAACACAACACAAACTAAAAAACAGGAACGAAGTTACTGGCATATTGTTACAACCTCTAAAAAATGAGTGCAACTATATTGCTTCAGCTAATAACTAAATTAAATTAGCATCAGTTGAGTTGTTGTGTTTGTGACACGGATCAGTTATAAGTAATATATTTTTTCTTTATGAAAATTTAGGAATTTATTGTTTAAAAGTTATAAAATTGTTTTATATAGGAAGCCTGCTTGTATTTTAATTACTCGTATAAAAACATTAACAACACTTGGCTAGGGAAGCGTTGCCACTGCAAATAATCTAAAAATTAACAGTAACCACACTGAAAAATAAAATAAGAAAACGAATGTTGACATTGAAATATAATAATATCTCGGACTAACAGTGACTTCACCTTGCACAATATTGTTAAGTGAAACTCCTTTAATATTGCAGACCTCCTACTACCAATCCTAAATATTTTACCAAAAAAAAAACACAGGCTCCGAACTAAAGTCAACCCAAATAATATAAATAAAGAACTTCGTTTGTTGAAACTCAGCCCTTAATTGTCTCAGTTATTTTTATTTATTTTTTTATTGTCTCAGTTATTTTTAATCTTCAGATTTATTTTTATAACATTGCGAAATAAACTATGTGCTAAAAATTATTATTTTGTGAATATAGTCCTGTTCGGTGACTAGATGGGCAGTAGCAATTTTGACTGAATTTTTCTGAATCGTGTTTGTTGACCCAAAAGAGAGAACACAACCTTGATGTTTAGTTTGGAGAGAAAATTGCAAATTCGTGCTAGGTAAATATCAGCCAATAAAACTAGTAAGTTCGAAAAACAGGTGATTTGTGATCAAATGATTGAATTTTATAACAAACCAAACGTTATTTAAAATGAAAAGAGTTTTAGTTCTTTTATACGAATGATTCACAAACACAATAAGTGTCCAAATTTAATTTTTTTAAATCAATTTAATGACATCTACGATGATATTGTTGTTAGTGTTAATACTGGGTCTAAGATAGACAAAGTTATGACTGACAACAGTAACGATCCTGACGGAGCTTTAAGTCAGTTTATGTAGCCGTATAAACTTCGCAGGGATTCCAAATTAAACATAGTGGCGTAAAGGCAACTCATATTCGTACTGTCGAACAGGTGCTGTGTGTCGATCCTCTTTTCAGCGATCTTTTCCAAGATTTGGGACATGTTGAATATCAATGATTGATTTACCAGGTCTGTAGCCATACTGATTAGGTCCAATCGGTTTGTTGACGGTGGGCTTTAGTCTTTCACACGAAACGCTTGTGAGAACCTTATATGTGATATTTAGGCAATTGGCGCAAACTGTGAAGTTACCTTTTTATGGATTGAGTAGAGCACACTTAAATTCCAATTGTCGGGTATGCTTTCGTCCGACCATAATCTGCAAGTAACTGATGCATGCGCCTTGTCAACTCTTCACTGCTATGTTTAAATATCTCTGCCGGTAGGCCGGCAGCCCCAGCCTCTTTGCTGTTTTTTAAGCGATCGATTGCAATTCGAACTTCTTCATGGTCATGTAATGAAACGTCATTTCCATCGTCATAGCTTAGGATTCGGTTTCACCATCTCCGGGTGTTCCATGTTCACGGCCATTCAGCAGGCTGGAGAAGTGTTGCATACATAAATACAATATACTCTGGGTATCGGTTGCTAGTTCTGCTTTTTGTCTGCTTCGGTTTTGAAATCTTCTGTAAGCCGTCGAATCCATTTCGCACGTGTAGTGGCCGATCGCAACGATCTGAGGTTGGCAGTCTGCTTTCTCTCCACTGCGACACGACAGTCGTACCAGCTGTTTTTGCGACTTTTACGAAATCCAATAGTTTCGTTTGCAGCTGTACGTAAAGAGCTTGAATAGCCGTCCCGCAGTTTCTGTATACCGAGCTGTTGATGAGTGCACTCAGTCAACTTGAAAATTGCGGACCCGCGCACCGTCCACCTGTGAACCGAATATCAAGTAAATCGGAGCATTAATATAATTTATTTGCATATGTCAGTCCCTGATCCACTTCCCGCGGAGAAGAAGAGTCTTTATGAGCAGCATACCACCTATGTACCGAATTTCAAATAAATGGAAGCATAAATAATTTTTTTTAGAATAGGTCAGCCCCTGGTACGCTTCTCGTAGAGAAGAGTAGTCGCCCTGTCAATCTAAACAAAAAGTCACCTATGAATCGAGTCTCAAGCAAATCAGACCATGAACAAGATTTTTTTCTCCCCACCCGGCTTACGCGGAAAAAGAACTACTAATTGCTGCAAAGCAAGTTTTACATAAATATTCGACCTTTTAAAGGACTATTAGAGACATATTGGTATCTTTATCGTTGCAGGGCTATAAAGCATGTAGAATTTCATCATTGTGGTATTACAATAAATTTTAAATACATATAATATATTTAAATATCTATATGATTACCAAATTTTAAATTATACTTAAAAGCAGAAGAAATCGGCTGTATAAGTGACCGGATTTAAATTTATCTGCCAAAATAAACAGCTGTTTTTCAACCTGCAGTGCAATTCGGTAACTTTTATCGACACGATTTGTCGGATCGAAAAGTTCCGAATTTTTTCTTTTGCGCTAACGATTATGCGATTCTCTAACTCAGTTTTTACGATAATCGACATGGCACATTTCCATTTT